GCCCCTCCGACGCGCCAGCGGTACCGGGCGAGCCCCTCTGCGCGGGGGCCTTCGGTCGCTGCCGCTCGGCGCTCGCACGGAGCTTGGCGTGACGCTGCTGTGCTGTCGCTTTTTCAGATGATGAGCTGAGCCTGCTGGTCATCGTCATCGACACCAACCCTATCTGGTGGGGAAAGAAGGCGCTAGGAGAAGCTGAGGTACGTCTTCTGGGTGTTGGTACCTCCCACGGTGACTTCTGAGGGAAACGGTGTTGGTTTTTTTTAATGTTAGTAAGTAGCCAACGTGGGATTTGTCTTTGGTTTCTGAACGATGCTAACGTTGTCTGCTAAAACAGATGCGATGGATATTAGAATACTCTCTTAAAAATAGCTACCAAGTGTTGTGTATTTGTCAAAGCTTTTTTCCTAAACGCTTCCCATTAAGAAAGGAAGCTCTTTCTGCGTCTTAAAGGAAGCTCCTTCTGCATCCTCAAATTCAAGTTTGTTTAACTGCGTTTATTTGGGAGGTTTCTTCTGAATTGCTTAATTGTAAATGTTATTGTGCTATATTTACTTCCTTCTTTTTTTCAGCAGTTCACCCTGTCAAAATGCATTGATGCAGCGATGGTACTGGGAAATTCGCACTTATTTATGAATCGCACCAACAGACTTGCTGTAATAGCAAGCCACACGCAGGAAAGGTATAGTTGCTTCTTAACAGTGTAAAGGTTTAAAGTGTACTCTCCTCTGTCTCCTGATTTTCTTGTTGGATTGAAATATGTAATTGAAACCAGGTTTAAAATACATAACATATCATTGTCTTAAAAACAGAAATTGCCTAAAACTGTGTAGAAAAGAAATAATCTTAGCGCCTTACACGAAGCAACAAAAACGCTTATAAGACGGAAGGGAGGTTTAAACAGAATTTTACTTAAAATAGAGGGAGAGAGGGCGAGAGAGGATGGTGGAGATGTGGCGAGCAGGACAATGCAAGTGGCAGAAGTTTCCTGTTTAGTGGATATTTTTCCCCAGATATTCTCGAGTCTCGGGATCTACCCTGAAGCGCAAGCATGGTATTTATTTGCCAATCCTCTTAAGGGGTGTCTTGAAAGAGGGGAGGTGAGTGTGGGTTTTACTCCATTTTGGGTTTGAAGATTGCCTGCCTTATGTAGTCTCTTCGTCTAAAGTATTAAAATTATCTGAAATTATACTTCAGAGTATTGCTGTCTACAGCTGACTAGTTTACGGCATTTTTTTCTTCCAAGGTTAAAGACAAAACATGAATACTTTGGTTTTTCCTTTGTTTCAGCCGTTTCTTGTACCCTGGGAAGCGTTGGGCTTTTGCAGATCTCTTTGGAGATGGTGGTAGTTCCATGGAATCTAATTGCTCTGGCAGCAAGGATGGAAAATATGAATTGTTAACAGCAATAAATGATGCAATTGCAGAAGAGATTAAAGACCTCATGACAAAAAGTAAGGAGAAGAAAATTCTAGGCTTAATGTGCAGAATTGCAAAATACTTGGACTCTTAAGGAGTCCAGGAATTCTTAAGGAATTTCCTTTTTTCTGATCATGTGACTTTTAATATGTTTCCAGTAGATGAGTTTATTATGCTTGACACTTCAGGCCTCTGAGTCAATACTATTTGCCAGAGATAGAACTTGTAGTATTTGGTATGGTCAGGTTCAGCAACTGGTTTGATACATAAAAGTAACGTTTGCAACTTTTCTTGTATTGCAGCTGACATGAGGGGACAGCAAACAGAAACTCTGTTAGCAGGATCACTTGCTAAAGCACTTTGTTGTATCCTTTTAATCACAGAATCTTCAAAGCCTTTATGTATTTTTAAGACTGTTTCTTATAATATTAAGTTTTACTATTCCTGTTCTGTAATAATACTCAAAATGGAAACATTTGCCTAATAACTGTGGGTTATGCTTATTAAAATGTGTGTTGGCTAAGGTGGTGAATACGTGGGATGGATACGGGAGTTATTTCCAAGAATAGAATGTAGATTCCTTAATGTCCACTACTGTAGATATCAACAAGATGAGCAAAGAGGTAAAAGGTAATGCCTCTGCTCCTGTTTTAAGTACTTATATAAATATTTGAATCGGAATAACAGATACAAATGCATATGTGCATACAAACAAGTATGCATATGTTTTGACATGCCCCCATTTCCAAAACTGGTGATAATAGGTACAGGTTTATCCCAATCATTTCAAATTGCCCAGTTTAAACTAGGTATGGATGATGATCAGAAATAAGGACTTGATCATTGGTCCATCTTCTTATTCTGATTTCCTGTTGCGTGCAAGCAAAATGAGTAAAACTGTAACTGGAATCTCTTTGGAACAACTGGAGGTCGAGAGGAACTTTTTGAAAGTCACATGATGCACAAATCCTCTTCCAAAGGGACCGACCGTCTGTAGAGCTGTGATGATAGCTGAATTTCTTACTTGGTTTTGGTCTTTCTCTTGTGACTTCTATAACTGGTGAAAGTGCTATTTGTGCAAGTAGTTTTGCAAGGAGCATATTGGACTAGAATGAGCTATACATTTCAGATTACTTTAATCAATGAGAAACAATGTGACTTGAGTTACGCGTTTTAGCCAGTGAGTTGGTAGTGAACAGCTTTGAACATTTCTTTCCTGATCAACATCTACCTGCTTTTGGACAATAAATGAAATGGGTCTGCTTTCATGACAAGTCTGAATTAGTCTACAGGTGCTTGTCACTGGGACTGTAAAACAGTTTCATATATGTATTTTAACTGAGATGTTAGATCTAACATCTTGGATGTTAGGTAACTGAGATGTTAGATGCTACAGAATTAAAAGGGCAAACTACGGGTGATAGAAATAATGTGCTCATGTGTTTCTTTTTCTTTTTAATATTTAGCCAATCAAGAAATGAAATCAAGGATTTTGGTAAGAACTTCTGCTGTCAGTTTTCTTTTGGTCTTGAAATCCAGTGATATTATGTAGGCTAACAAGTTTGAATTGTTTTATTTAGGTCATAAAAGCAGCAGAAGACAGTGCATTGCAATATATGAATTTCATGAATGTGATCTTTGCAGCACAGAAACAGGTAAAGCTGGCATTTTTTTATATATATTATCTTTTATTAATGTGTGAAGGTAACAAAACTGTTAATTTCTCTTATGATTATGTTCTGATCAAGTGAAAGAGATTCCCTATGGCTGTGATGGTCCTGCAGCTGTAAAAGCATGCGCATTTATACATGGAGCGCATTTATAGCGGAAACAGGTCATGACAGTAACACTGATGAGGCTACATTGGTCCTAGCTGAATTTTTCTGATGTGTTTCATCTCTTTTCTTGCAGAGTATTTTGATTGATGCCTGTGTCTTGGACTCTGATTCAGGTCTTCTACAACAGGTACAGACTTCCTATTCTTATTTGCTCATTACATTTATTTGTAGATACTGATGCTAGATAGTTTGATGTATTCTAAAGCTCTCTTCTTTCCTCTGTTTCAAGAGTGGGTGTGGAAATATGTTCAGTGGATCTGACAGTTCCAGCATGCAGGCCTTGTGCAGTATGTGGATGCTTTAAATCTCATAAAACATAGCAATCTGATCATGCTCTCTGCTTTCCAGGCTTGTGACATTACGGGTGGCATATATTTGAAAGTGCCCCACATGCCATCCCTTCTGCAGTATTTGTTGGTAAGTCATTTAAAAAACATTTCAGTGTTTTTCCTGTGTCACATGTGAAATCTTACTGATTTTGTTGACAAGGTAATATGGCAGTACCACTCCAATTTGCAAAATATTTTTTCTTTATTCATGCAGTGGGTATTTCTCCCTGATCAAGAGCAAAGATCACAGCTTGTCCTTCCACCTCCTGTTCATGTTGACTACAGAGCTGCATGCTTCTGTCATCGAAATCTTATTGAAATTGGTTACGTGTGCTCTGTGTGCTTGTCAAGTAAGTTCATAAATATTTAAGAGTCTGATTCCTTACATTCAAATGAACTGTTTTAGTGAAAGACAAATCTTTTATTTTCCAGTATTCTGCAACTTCAGTCCTATTTGTAGTACATGCGAGTAAGTGTTTCTTCTTCTTGTTTCAGGGGTGGGTGTGGAAATATGTTCAGTGTATCTGACAGTTCCTTTTTTTATGTTGTTTCAGGACTGCTTTCAAAATATCATTGCCACCTGTCATGAAAGCTAAGAAGAAGAAATTAAAGTTAGCTGTGTAACAACATTATGTAAATACATTATTACCTCCTCCAGTAATTCCATGAAATGGAATATATGTGAGAAATTGATGGCACTTTTTATTTGATACGAAAGAGAACTGTATGCAGTGTTACTACTTTTTTCTTAAGGGATAAATATTTAAACTGTATGTTTTCTACACAGCCCTTTAAGTAACAAATCACTGTATTACCATGTAACCTGTGCTGTTTTAAATACTAGTTCTTAATTCCAGAAGTTACAGCCTGTTAAGAGACAGACCTTGTGAAGTAGAAGGTATTCTGGCTACGGCAAAGTTTCACACCTCCAAGTTCTTTTCAAAGCCAAGAAAACTCTTGATTCTTTTTGTAAGTTGGTGTAAAGGTAAGAATGACCGTTTCTGGTGTGTAGGATCAGAACCTTAGCCCTATGTTATTCAGGGGCTTCAACTTCTTGCTAGCTTTTTGCTAGCAATTTTTGGACTGAAACAGCATCAATTTCAAAATAAATGAACCAACATTTTCAAGATGGCTTAGAACCTATCTTCTCTTTTTTTTTTTTAAGATGCTAATCACCCTGCATGTGCACTTATGTGCATTTACTCACATTCCTTTGACTGTACTGTCTTTGTGGAAGTTCTTTGTCAATTGGATATCTCTTCATTCATCAATAAAAAGGCCCCCCTTTGTTTAAAATAACTTCCAGAAATGCAAGCTAGCTGGTTAGTCTTTAAGGTTGTATTTTGAAACTGGAAAACAAAAAATCTGATTCTATGTAATATGACAGCAGGCACACTTTTTTACTTTAGTATGTTGTTTTATGTCTGGCATTTGACAAGTAAGAAGGAAGACGCTTGGTGTTTTTAATGTCAGAACATGAGGGTATACTGCGTACTTCTGAACATGGCTTTGGTTTAAACAAACAAAAACATCTCCCACTTTTAAAAGGTAACTGTATAATTTGGTGTTTTTACCTGTTGCTAGTAACTGATGTTATCCTGAAAGGAATGCAGAGTAATTGTTTCCTACATGGAAAAAGACTTTTTTTTTTTTCCCCCGAGGTGTAGACAGGAATTTATGTCATGTTGTGATACTTCCATCAGGTTTTTGCCAATGTAACAGTTGTAGTAAGTGCCGGTCTTTTACTGGCTTGTTTGATTGCCAAAAGCCATTTTCTTTGAAGGCTGTATTTCTAATTTACTTTGTATAAAACGTTTGTAATAAAACCTTTTTCAAATGTGGTTAGGTATTGCTATAATAACGTATTTTTAAGGGTGAGCTACACGGCCTTCTTGCAATTTTCTGTGTGAAAGTGTGACGGTAGGATCTGGCGCTACGTGCGGTGCCGGCGGGAGGCCACGGTCTGTGCGGAGTTAGGTGAGAAGATGAGGGGCAGGCTTTGTCT